TCGGCTGGCTCTGTTCTCCAGCTGCTTATCAAGAAAAAAAATGACATCGGCTTCCGTGCAGTTGCTGCTGTGGTGTGTAGAGCCGCGATTCATGGGACCGCCAGTTGCTGGTTTATTCGACCACACATGGCTAAATGATTAGCAAATGCGATATCTCTTAACACATACTACCAGCAATTATAAGTAGCAATACAGATAAATAACCACATGTTTATTTAAATAAGTACTTATCATATTCTGTTTATTCTTAAATGAGTGCAGAAGTTACATACGTTATTCTATTTTAAGATACAAGTAAGTAAAGAAAGAACTTAGTGAGGTGAACAAGGGAAATGCCACAAAATACCCTTTCAGCATTATTATTTATTAAATTTGTAAATGAAAATATCCAACTCAATTCCAAGAAAGAGAAGAAATGAAAAAAAATTAACGAATTGCAACTCCTAGAAGAAAATGTTTATATATTTACATTTTGAATGATCCACAATAATAAATATGTAAAATTTCAGTACAGAGAATACTTTTTTTGGAATCATTAATTAATTAATTATCTATGCCACCCACAAAAATGAAATGTGACCCTGGAAGAGAATGGGACAACATGCGTCAAGGAGAACCACATCCAAGAACAGAGGCCCAGTTTCCTGGATTCCTGCAACGACTTAAGCGAGTTTCGCGTTCCGTAGTGCCAGACGATTAAGAAGTGTCGCTCATATGCCCCGAAAATTATTTCTTTGTTCTACATTCATAAACAAATTCACAAAAAGCAGTACACCAATTTATAATAAAGAAATACAATTAATGGCAAAGTCTCGTGCGTTCCAGCTTATTTATACATATAGTATGTATGCATGACGAATTTCGAATTGCAATTCCATTATCTTATCCATGCTCCATAGGTACATTTGAACTTATGTTTGTATTTCTCCAAGTTCAAATGTTTTCGTTTTATTGCGAAATGAATACGGCAGAATTTGTCAAAATAGAAGTTATGTCAATTGGTGTGTCACTATCAGAAAACGCCATAAATGGTCACTGGACTTCTGATAAACAGTTCGACACGTATAGTATAGTATGTACCTAGGAAGATTACGAAACGGAAATGAAGATGATGTTGACCTTTTACTTAAAGCTAAAAGCGAATCATTATATCAGACCCGTAACAAGTGTTTCTTTTCTTTATTTGTTCTCGTATAGTACGTAGCCAAGGGAGAGGAGCAAGAACACTGAAACTATGCCAATTAAAAGCTGTTCGGCTAATTTCTTGAGCGTCATTTAGTGAACATTACAAAACACATGCAACAACAGACACAAACAGACATCCAACCAACACAACAGAAGCCCAACTAACTAACCAACTACTACATCAGCTAATTAGCCAAGCCGGCAGCTACAATACCAAAAACAACAACAAGAATAACAGCAAGTATGTGAAGAAACCGGTTCTACAACTATGGGCCGGCCAAAGAAATTTCGCACACTACCAGTTCGAGCGCGCATGTGTATGTATATATTCTCATCAGCCGAGGGTCAATGTCTTGTGCGTTCATATCTTTTCTACATATCAGCAACTCTATCTATCTGCCTGGGCTGCCCAATAATAATAACAATAATATAATAAAAAAACAAAATTCGCGCCACACTGAGACACAGACACGAGCGCAACAGCCACAGTACCAAAAATCAATGGTCAGTGGTCAGTAGCCAGCGCGTACAGTGGTTGAAAAGGCAACCAACTTATAAACGAAATTTCTGCCCAAATGTTGTACCTCCATAAATTGTCTTGTGCGCCTGCTAATGACCATTACGTAATATTTGGGTTCATGTGCAAAAAGCTGTTACCCTTCAAAAACCAAGCACATAAAAGGACCTTTGGACTGTAGTTATAAGCTCGTGGTGAGGCGCAGGGGCTTGGTTAGATATAATGGCAAAAAACGACGTTAATATTGATCGCATTTTTTGCAATACGAGGGAAATTGCAATTGTGGTATTTTTGAAATTTTTTTTTTTTTTTTGTAAACAGCTTATTATTATTATTTATTTATATTTTTGCAATAGTTACATAGAAGTTGCCTACAAGTGGAAAACAACATCGAAGGCAAATTCATATAATACTTATAATAATAATTCGAATATTTGTTCCACTCCCTACATAACTTGACCCACTGTGCAAGCTTGCCTCACATTCAAATCTCTCTTTCTCTGCCACCCGCTCGCTCCCTTCTTTCGGAGAGCACTTGTTGTGCGCTTGACTTGTGGTTATCTTTCAGTTCAAAATTGACCAACGGAGCAACGGAAGCGCAACAAATAACAGCCAGATAGCCAGACAGACAGTCAGCATCAGCAACAACAACACCAATTACAGCAACTACTCGTTTCATTTCTCATGTTCTTCTTCTTCTTCTTTGGCTGGTTTTTTGTGTCCCACTCTTATTATTGTTGTTGCTATTAGTAAGAAAGTTTTACTCATTGTGTGAATCATTGAAGCATTTTTGAGCTTGTTATGCGGGTTGAACTTTATCAACATTTGTAACAACATTTATAACATTTAAGCTAATTTGCAAAAAATAAAGCTGCGACATTTGTTAACTCGCTGTTGAAAGCATTTTTACTTTAGCTTTACGAATTAGCAGTGAAACTTTGGGATGAACTTCACAATGGGCTTGCTTTGTGCAGGCTAAGATCCATACATCTACACATAAACATGCATATATACATATATACATAAAATTGAAGAAAGAAAAAAACCATCATAACTGGTTACGGCAGACCTTGGCACTTGGGGCGGTCATAACAAAAACACCAGCACTTTTTTGTTCAACTTGAAAAGCAGCAACTGAATCACGTTTAGTCATATATCTGGTTCGTTGGTTTTTCATTAGAAATCGTTTCTTAGTGCTGAAGTTCTTGACGCTCTCTGGCCTTGATTAGCTAACTGAGTGGCTACGGGTGGTCGTTCTTTAAAAATGTGGAGGAAGGAAGTTGATAATTCATATACATACATACAAATACATATACATGTATATGTACTATATATGTATGCATATTTAAATACATATTTACCCTAAACTAGAGCTTGGTTTAACGTTAAATGCGCTTAATTTAATGAAAATATATGCATTTTTTTATTTGCTTTGATTTGCAGATTAATTCAGTTGACCTTTCGGTTCAATATATAATGGAATCTGTGCGATAGAAATATAATGTTAATTCAATTAAAAAAAATAATAAATCTCTATAGAAAACTTCTGTGGGCAATTTATAGCATTTCTATTCTTAATTGGTTGATATTTATATTAATTTTATTAATTTATGAAGTCATCATTTTTATGATTCAACAACCGAAACAATATATTATTCAAATATTACTTTATTTAAATTATTATATGGACAACATCATAAATACGTATAGCAAATTATTTTAAAAATACTTTTAAGGTATTTAAATTAATTACACATAAGTAATTATTACACATAAGTTTTAGAAACAATTTATTTTCTTTGAATTTTTTTGTTTTGTTTAATTTGTTGGATATACATACACTTAGTTTTTATTATTTTAATTTTGGATGTTTTTTTAAAATTTAAATTTTATCTTTAAATAGAATATTTATTTATTTTGTATAGCTTAAATATTTTTCAAAATTTATTTTGTTAATAATTTTTTGTATTTATTTACTTTGCTTTTTGTATTTATTGATTTGTTTCTCAAAGAGAATTTCTCGGACATAAATTCACACTGCATTCAAATAAGATATACGTACAAATTGTCTGTTGCTTGTTTTAAAGCCTTCAGACACTTTTGCTTTAGATTTCCGAAAATTCCACTTTAGGACATTTGCATAAAAGTCCTCTTATACGCAGACAGGGCAATAAAAAGTGAAAACGCACCCCAGACAGAAATTGCTGACGAAAATAAGAACCCTTAAGGCATGCTAATCAATCTTCTGTTCCAGGTTGCTCCAGCCTAGGATTCTAAATAAAGCAGTGTAATTAAATGCAGCACTCTCTCTCTCTCACACACACACACTCATCCATACATACACACTCTCACACATGTTTTTATATACATAGAGGCTGTGCAGAACAATGCCGAATAATTAGAAAAGTGGGTACTAAAAATTATGAGAGCGGCAACCCCAAAGCAACCCTCGCTTTCCACTCCACCCTATCTTCAGCCATTCTCTTGCTACTGTGTGCTTAATTATTTTTGTTGTTGCTTTTGTGAAAAAGTTAACTTAATTTCTGCATGATTGGGCATTTATTTCAATGTTATTGTCTATGGGTCATTTGTAATGCGAGAATTCCCGTAACCCCCGCGCATAAACCAACGATATTATTGTTGATAATTGTTGTTGTACTGATTACACAGTCTGAGAGTCAAGTGGGGAGGCAACCCCAGCTGCGTGTTGTAAATGCTGTCTGTGCTTGTCAGCAAATTTTTGCATTACGCATCACATTTTTTGTATGCTACTTTTTTAAACAGTGCTGTGAAAAAGTAAATTACTGTTGCAAAAAAAAGGAGTAAATATACATTCATTATTTGTTAACGATTTTGATTTATATTTCTACAAACATTCTTAACGGAAAATTCCCTAAAGGGGAAAAACAAGGTCCGTTGTTTGTATGAAAAATATTCATTTTTGATTCTTGTAATCCAGGAAAATATGCCATTTTTACTTTTCTTTAGGTCGAAATTTGTATTGTATATGTTACCTCGATATCTAAATCAGACTATACTTTAAGATGCAAATAAATCATTTCGATGGATTGCATGACATTCTGATCTAAAAATATTACTAAAAATAATAAAATAATACTAAATATAATATAAACATAAATATAAACATACATTATAACAAAATAAATATATAAATACTTAGAATTGCATTCGCATCCCCAAAAAATATATGCAGCTTAGCTTTGGCACCAATTTTTTAGCAGACAATGTGTGACTTAAAGTGGCTGTTTTCGTTTTTAAGGATTTATTCGTTACTCACCATTTACGATGATGATGAAAATGATCGACATGAAAACCATTTTTAATCCACATGTTGATGACATTATATGCGAATGGGCTCCAACGTGACGAATCTTAGAACTCGAAGTTACTCAGCAGTTTTTGTTGTTCTTGCTGCTACGTCTATGTTTCCCGTTGTTGGCTGTTGTTGTGTTTGCTGTTGGCAGTATGTATGTAGTTTTTTAAGTTGCTACTTCTACTACTACTACTACTATTACTTTTTATTTATAGCTATAGCGATACACTGGCCATGGCGTTGGGAAAGAGCGACGACGAAACACACGCACGCACACATGTAAGCGTTTTAAATGCAACACCGGCCATAAAAATTGAATGCACTCTTATTTTTGCACGCACGACTTGCTGGCGACTATAATTTTTTCCCCTTTTCTTTTTACGCGGCACGTACGCTGGCGATTTTCTGCTTTTTTTTCTTAATATTATTTATTATTATGATTTATATGAATTAGCCTTTTTTATTGAATTTTTTCCGCGCGCATATTTCAAACTCACATTGAAAACAAACACAAACAAAAAGATTGGAAAAACACGTACACAAATGAAAATAAAAGCAAGAAAAATGCAGCGCGACAGAAATGAAAATTAAATGTGTATGTTGATGCTGGTTTTATTTGCTATTGCTATTAATGTCGTTGTTTCAGGGCTGCAAGTAGACAAGGTATGGAAAACGCATTAAAATTGACTACCTTTTCGGTAAAAACTGCTACTATTTGGACAACAAACAAGAGCAGCTGTTGCTTTGTGTGTGCATGCGTGTGTATGTATGTGAGTCATCCAGCCTCTTTTATTGTTGCGGTTTGTGTCGTTGCTTTTTTTGTCTTTTTGTTTATTTTGCAGATGCAAATTGGTTGCTTGGACATATTTTGCTATTTCCATATTTTAATTTTGATTATTTATGCATTTGTTTACACACAGAGAGCAACAAAAACTCTACACTCACTCACACACGCACACACGGCAAAGCAACAGCAACAACATTTCAATTGCCTCTCAAATTGAAAAAGCATAAAAGCAGAAAGAAAACGCACAAACACACAGCAATGGCAACAACAAATACATTCAGCATATGTGCATCTCATTCACTCTTTCAGCAAAAGAGCCCATAAGCCAAGAGAGCGCAGCGCCATGCCACGCACAAGTGTGAGCGAGAAACAGAATGTGAGTGCGCAGACGCAACGAAATGCATTGCATGCATGTTTTATTACTTTCTTATGCTTCTCCTGCTTCGTCTCCTCCCTCACTCTTTTTTGGTCAATGCGTTCTAGTTGATTTTTGTTATTGTTGCTGCGCATGAGAATGACAAACAAACAAAAATGTACAAAACAGGGACATGGCGGCGTCGGCTTTATTTATGCACAAATGCTGCGGACAATATATCAATTGTTTACTCTATAAAACGTTACACGATTTTTCCTTCTTTGTTGTTTGCTAATATTTCTCCTTGCCACTTTGCACTTTGTTGCGCTAATTAAACTATTTTCATAAGCTACACATAAACACAAACACATTCTTACTTACACGTTTGCTTTGTGTATGTTATGCTTTGTCGTTGTTATTGGTTTTGTTGTTGTTGCTGCTGTTGTGCTTGTTGTTGCAGTGCGCGCATTAAATGCGTCGAAATGCAGCCATTTTGTCTTGCAATTGGCACTCACTTGTACACACGATTCGTGTTTTTTTGTGTTTGCTGTTGTATATAAGCACTGCAGATTACACACTTTTATTTAATAATATTAAGCACACACATATTTCAAGATATATTTTACAACTGGCTTTCATTTAATTTATAAACACACACACGCGACAGCACAAGACCGACGAACGACGCTTTCCCGATTTTTCTAACACACGACATCCGTCCAACATTCTCCGCATTCTCTTTTCAACTGCCATCACAAAATGTTCATATTCTCTTTTCGGCTGCTATCGCACAATGTTCACCACTTACAATACAGTGGTAATAGTGGGAGAAGCGTATGTGTGTATATGTCAGGAGTGGTGAACTTCGGTCAGCTGGTTTGGTAGATATTATTACTCCCAAATAGATGAATAAAATGAACAATTTAAAACTGCTATTAAGCCGAGAACAGTTAATAAATAGACGCAACTGTAAGAGCACATTTACTTCCGAAGTATAAATTTCGCGTAATTTTTAAATTCACAGCATACCAAAGTACAATAGTTTGCAGTTTGAAATACAACATTGCATAATATAGCAGGCAGCTTTGAAACGCGACAAAAATGCTGCCAGCTTAGAAAAATGAGACCACAACCGCCGTAGAATGATTTAAAACTAAATTGATGCATTAGAAAGAAGCGAGAGTCAATTTTGATATGTAAATTAACCTTCTACGAAGATCTTCTATCATAAAGGGCTACTTCTGATGAATGATGTGCTCGATCTTGACTTTGCGACTTGACGAAAGCGTTTTAATGAAAACGATCGCGACTCTTGCCACATACATATACTAGAGTTAATTATTTTTCCATCGGAAATGCCATAAGTAAAATATACGAACAACAGAAGTTTTTGAAAAAACTAGTTGCTGGGTGCAATCGTTATGGATTCCATAACAATTTATATATAACATCGCCTTAATGGAATGCTGATAAACTAAAAGGGTTCCCAACTCCCTAAAATATATTTAGACGGACAAAGTTTTGTATCCTTGGCTCTTAAGTGGTACTCAGTAATTGAGCCAACAATACCAAAATACGAACATAGTTAATTCACGGTATAACTCTACCGGATGTGTTGCGGACCTTCACCACACGACCTAATGCCACAAAGCGTATCGTTTTGCGTCGATTTATGAAGAGGTCTCCAGTTAACGTCCAGTTCATTTCGGGAACGTATTGTGGAATTAAATCTCCATCGACCTTGAAGTCGTGCACATAGTAATGTTTGTTCTATAAAAGAAGATAAAAACCGATAGTATCAGAATTGGAAATAGTGATATGAACATTTTACCCTTTACCTTTTGATATGGACAGTCGCTTAGAATGTTGCCGGATTTTCTTACTGCGTTTTGGATAATGCGCGTTACAGCGTGCTCTTCTAATACATTTAGACCTGTGGGAGTACATATGTCGAAATGTTTGTTCATGTACTTCAGCGTCGATTTACCGATCATTGCGCGGAAAGATAACAACACTGAGGTATTATTTAGCTCGCGCACTACAAAAAAATCTGCATCTATCACCGTCTGATTACGATTATTAGATTTCAAAACGCACGTCAGATTAGTTACAAATGTAGGCATATAGTTTTCACACTCGAATTTAGTTGGAATTGCATCAAGCTGGAGAAAGAGTGATGTTGAATATATTTAGCAATAGCTTAATAAGATATTCGATCCTAAAGTATGCCTTACCTTACTCTCAGCGATCCAATGTGCAGGCAATAGGAGGAGTAGCAGAAGCAGCAGCTTGTATAGACCCACCATTGTGAAGTTTCTGAGCTCCAGTAATGTTTTCATCTAAATAAATATATATTTTATGTGTTAATAATAAGTCGTTTGAAATGGACCGGGACTAATGGAACTTTAATGGATCTATTTCCATTTTTCATTACCACATCATTCCAAAACTGTTGTCAAAGTACAATTATATTAATTGTGCGTTCTATGCCAATTATTATAGAGATAGCGTAGCTTTATGAAGGGGAGGATTTGCTGTATCACATCCCTTCCAATACTTTAAATATGCTGCGCACAAATAAGATCCGGAAATCAAGCGGGTGTTTCGCCTGTTCTGAATGGCATATGTATAAAATGTTCAAAGAGGATCGGATATTTCTTGAGAACGAATCAAGACATCTACAAGTATGACGACCAAGAACATAAAGCTAAGAAAATCAATGAATATATATAATAATCAAATGGTAAATAAATAATATTTATGTATCAAATATAAGGGAATTCAAAGAGCAATGTGAGATTTTGAATAAGATTTTAAGATCCAGATCATTATTGACCAGACCAGTAATTCTTTTTAAAGTACAAGTTTATTTTGAAAATATATCTTTTAAAAAACCATTAGTAACGCTCCATTTCAATCGGTTTATTAGAACCATAGGAATTGTATTTATTTAGATGAATTCATTACTGGAGCTCAGTAACTTCACAATGGTTGGTCTCTACACGCTGCCGCTTCTGCTACTCCTCCTATTGCCAGCACATTGGATCGCTGAGAGTAAGGTAAAGGATATTTAAGGATATAGTATATATCAAATCCTAAAACTATTCAACATCCATTTATTCCAAGGTCAGTGTAATTCTAACCAAATTCGAGTGTGAAAACTATGCACCCAGCCTCATTACCAATATAACCTGCGTTTTGAAATCAAACAAATTCGATGCAGAGTATGGCTAGCGAAAGACATATATAGTATAATGTCTCAATATCCTACTCACTCAAAATTATACGCGGCAAATCGGTGATGAATTAACTGCAACTTTGTGTGTGCTCGTATATATATTTAATTAAACTAAATACGTATGAGTGTGTGCATTTTTAAAATGTATTTATACAAGTAGATATTGATACAGGAGGAAGAAAAACACAGTTAAATTTTTTTTCAAAATAACGACAATTTTTAAGACTTTATTCTTCACCTCTTAGAGAAACATCCCGCCACTTTGTAGAATATAAGAATAATTACATTCATAACCTTGCAATTGACGCGCAATGAAGATAAAGATGCAATTTACAAATGTTTTCCACAATAGGATTTTAAATACAACCAGATTTGACGGGGAGAAGCCAAATTGGCAACACTGATTATAATTGCTTTTATTTATTTTCACACAGTTGTTACTTGTGACACCGTAGCAGCTTACTCAGCTTGCTCATCTCTAATTGTTGTTGCTTCGCACATGTTGAACACGATTTTGAAACCCAACACAACAGCTGATTTAACTCCCCACACATCAGGTAAGAAAAGTAATAAGGTAGCGCCATTTAGTAGTAGTACATAGATTTGTTTGCTCTCATTGCGCTCGCTAGCCATATGAGCAGCGAAGGTTTGTTTACTACAATTTGCCATTTTCCAATTTCAATTTTATTTGTCTTTTTTAATTTCGATCGTTGTATTTATTACACGACAAAATCAGTGAGAGCATTACCACTACTAGGGATAGCCATACACCTGCTGTGACGTCAGTGGCAGAGAACACCAATCTATGCGCTCACGCTTCTTTTTACTATGGGCATTGCCATCACTCTCTTTCTTGCTCTCCTCTCTTTCTCGCTCTTTATAGCATGTGCAGCTGTGGTTGGTACCAGCAGTCGGCATTTGATTCCCTAGATGAACAGATGTTTTGCGCTCTTCGTTTCTAAGTGTCGGTCGAACGTGTCGGTGCACTTCCTATGAGGTAGGTGTCGCATTAGTCGTGTGTCTTTAGTCGTTGTCGTCGCGTTGTAAACGGGAATTCCGCTAAAGCCGAATAATCGCAGTTAAACAATAACAGAAAAAACTTCTGAAGTAATATAAACCACACATACAAAAAAACATACATACATACATGTGTACTCACACATAATAAAAAGCTAACGGCCGCGGCAGCAATTGTGCGAAAGATTTGGTGGCAAGTGGCCAAAGTTTTGAGGCGCTTTTAAAGTAAGTGTAATAAGTTCTATTCGGCGTCGGTAAATTCTTACAGAAACAGGTTTAACGTGGGGGCCATTGTGGTTAGCATGGCATGTGTGTGTGCGTGTGTGCGTGAGAGAGAGGCATGCCTGAGAGCTGGAGAGCACAGTTACTGCATAGGCGAATTTGATTTTTACACATTCGTTTTGTGCGTCCTTTTTGCTGTTGCTCTTCATGCGAGTGTTCATGTGAGTGTGTGAGTGTCGGTGCGTGTGTGTGTGTGAATCGTATCATCAACAATTCACAATTGGCTTTTGTCTGACCGAACCTGTTATTTCTTCAGCAGTTTTCAATTAACCCCAGCGGCATTCATTTGATGATGCTGCTCTCTCACATGGTAGCATAGTGATTAGTTCTTGGGCACGCGTACGCTGCAACCTAATCAATATGCATACAAACACTCAAACATTATATGTATGTACTATGTATGTATGTATGTATATGTGGCTTCTTACATATGTGTGTACCGTTGTCTTAAGCCGCTGCCATGTGCCGTTACTTTAGCCCGCTTAGTTGCCATGTCAATAAAGTTCTAGGCATAAAAGCGGAGCAATCAGCTGCTCTCGCGCAGCTGTTTTTCGGGTCCCTAGCAACAGCGCGCGCCAGTAACGAAAATCCGATGTAGGGACGACAACGACAACGACGTCGGCAGTAAGCCCACGCATGCAAAGAAAAAACGAGCAGAACGCTTAAACGTGCTAAAGCACGTCTCTTGGATACCCTGCACCGGCCACATTTCACCACAGTCCTCCTTCAGCTAAATTAAACTTTGTTGTAGGATCGATGGCTATGGCAGCAATTTGAATTTAATGAAACTTCAGATTATCTTAAGGCATTATTAAAAATCTTCCTTAAATTTCTTAATCAACAAGACAGTTGTTGGGGCTAAAATTGATTTTTTAAACCAATCGTTTCTATGATACCTTTATGATATACTATAGAGCACCCGGCGTAGTATAATAATGTATTTTTAAATATCAACATCAGTTATTTCATAATATTCGTAAACAAAATAGTTGGTTTTTAGCCCCGATTGTTCCTATGGCAGCTGTGTTAAATACTGCACCTACTGTGATACAACTTGAGATTATGATATAGAAGCTTTAAAAATGTAAGACTAGCAAAAGGAGTGATTATTTCAACTATCGATCCCCTGGCAGCTTTATAAAATAATGCCGGTATATAAGGCTTGTAACGTATGTACTTAGTTTGCATCTGGATAAGTCAAGTCTGCATTCAAATTTTGGTTTCCCTAGCTATTAACGATGTTCATACAGGCAGACAGACTGATTAGACAGACTATCTCTTTCCATTCGTCTTGACATGCTGATCACACATATGTACGTATGTACGTAGGTTACACACATTTCTGGTATACCCGTTCATCCTACGAGTGGAGCGTATGAAACAAATCAGATGCCTGCTGCCTACCAGCGAGCAGCTGTAGTTGTGAGGCGCAGGCGCCAAAACTGCAACAGAAACGAAGCTACCGCACTTTTACGGCGCCGGCCACCGCTCGCGCCCAGTCAATTGGTCTGTCTCTCTTTTCCTCTTGCCCTGTTACTGTGTGCGCTTGTCCTGCAAATTGCATTGCGCTGCAGTCTGCAGCTTGCCATCTCGCTTGCACGCATGGCGTTTGGCGCCTTTGGCCAAGTTTGAAGTAATACCGGAAAAGGTTTTAACTGCCAGGCAGCCAGGCAGCAAGGCAGGAAGGCAGCCAGGCAGCCACCTCTGTAACACCCAAACCAGGCAGTGTATTGTCAACGCTTCGCCTTTACATAAGTTGACATCCGCGCGCTGCTTTTGGCCGTTTTAGTGCCCGGTCGGTCGGTTGCAGGTCCTGTGCTGTGCTGTGCTCTCAAGTTTTCTGCGCTGCGCTTCAATCAGCTGCTGACTGCCGTCGCAAACGCATCCAAAACACATTCGCGCACATTTCGCCCCTTTAGTAGCCAGCCAGGCAGCCATCCAGTCAGCCAGTTGGCCAGCTAGCCAGTTAGCCAGTTGGCCAGTTAGTGAGTTAGTCAGTCAGTCAGTTCATTTAAAGTTGCTGCAACTTGCGTTTTGCCGTTTTTGCAACTTGTGTTCACTTTTGTCCGAGCGTATTTATTTTTTTCCTTCCTCTTCTGTTTTCTTTAAAACCGGCTCTCAAAAGGTTCGCCGTTCATCGCAGTCGTCGCCATCGTCTGTTTCTGTTTTTTTATTTATATTTTAAATTTTTTTCAGCTGTTGGTTGCTGCTTGTTGGTTGCTGGTCTCCTTCATCTCCGACTCTGAGACTCTGTCGCTGGTTTCGGCTGCGGTCTGGCTTTGTGGCACATTGCCTCAGCTTTGGCTTTATACTCGTAGTATCGTATTGTCAGCAGCCTCGAAAAAAGTGGTTTAACTTCTTTTTTATTACACTTTAATTTGTCTTTTCTATTTATTTCATTTCATTTCTCAACAATTTGGCTATTTGCCTTTTGCGTGGGCTTCGCAGCCGCGTTTTCTCGTTGTTGTCATTGTCGATGTCGATGTCGTTTTGTTGTTGTTCATAAACATTAACGTTTTTTTTCTTCAAATTATTAATTTCAACTAACAACAAAAACACCAAGAAACCAGAGAAAAACTTGATTTATGCGTAAGACCCGTGCCCGTACAACAATAAATCAATAACTGCATGAAAAAATAGAAACAAAATTCAACGAACAACCAAACTATGAAGTTATAAAGTGTTGATAAGTGAAACATAAAGTAACGAACAACATACCACTACCACCACCACCATCACCACCACAAGGAGGCACACAAACAACAGCAACAACATGTGAAACAGACTTCGGTACGAGACGCCCCCGTGTTGCTCCCCTCAGCTGCTGCATTGAACCAACATGGCCGCCAGGATGCGCAACTAGAGCTGAGGCGACGAAGCGAAAAAAACTTTTAAATGCTTTTATTTAAAGGTGAGTTTTCAAAACGAATTAACTGAATTACCCAGTTGTAGTATATCCGCAAAAATATGCGCCTCAGAGACAGCTCCTGTTTCCGTAAATGTGCGTCTAAGTCTCTGGTCAGACAGACAAAGAGTTTGTTCCTCAGACAGCTCCTGTTTGTTGTGTTTCTTTTCCTGAAAAAGTCCGTCTAAAGCTCAGGCTTCTTTGGAACTTACTAGTGAAGTGCTTCTTGTAAAATATGCAAATTATTAACTCTAGCCATAGCTAGCAATTGGGTCTAGCTACTTTATTGGCTCCCTCAGTTGCTGTTTAGGTAACTCAAGCCCTTGTGCAAAGCTTAAAGTTAAAAGAATTGACCACCTCATGATAATATTTAATTAAACCACACCGTTGCACGTCTAAAGGTTGTTTTATAAATATTACCCATACGCCATGTAATCCCACACTTATGTCTCTTATATGAATTAGACACATACATTTTTTATGAATACCAATGGCAAACCGAACAGTAGGATACTGCCTATATGTGGTTGGGGCATAGGGCGGTGCATATTGTAAATATTTTATTCAGTTCTGTTACAGCCTACTTTTGTTCAAGCTAAAAGTTTCTATTGCATATTACTTATACGCCTTGTGTGCTTCTACCTATCACATAAAAAATTGATGCTTTATGAATATACGCCACGTTAGAGTGTCTCGCTGTCCCCGATAGTTGTATGCAGGGGTGCAAATACCTCCGTAATTGTATTTTATGTTATTAATTGGATTATGTCATGAATGTAATTAGGGAATACCTAATTGGATTAAAGGATTGTAGTCAGTTCCAATATTTCGTTTGCATTCAAAAAATAACGAATGTGCAATCTGCATAATAATTGATCGCAATTAGTTCAACCTAATCTTAGTTAATTCTATAGTTATTGTTTAATTGATACCAATATAGAGCTATATAGCTGCTAATGACAAAACTGATTTAACTTTAATTTATTAAGTATGATGAAGGCTCATTTGTTTTAAAAGTTGTTATAGAAGCATTCCATCTTAGAAAGGATTTCTTTAATTAGATTAGCTATATTAATTAGTCTTCTAATTTTGACAGCAGTCCTCGTTTTGATATCTAGACTATTATGTCATAATTACTTAAAATAAATCGCAACATACTTATACACGTGTTCTTTTATATTGAAATTCAAATATTTGTTATCTTATCAAGTTTTGTGAGAAGCTTTCACGAGCACTAAGAACATTCAATCTAATTCCAAACAAACAGTAAATACCCCATGAAAGCCAAATTGGATATGAACGACATGTATTTGTTGAATGATAAGACAGCCATAAGTTGTAAAACAGCTGGATTTGTTATACTGAATTGAATATTTCCAAATGTGCTAATATCTTATCTTATCGTTTATAAATATACGACTGTGTGTTTTCGTATGGCAATAACTGCCATTTGATAGATTGATGGTTCTTTTTATTAGAAAATTGTAGAAATGAATTATCCACTTAGAGAAATGTTCCGATAGACAGTCCTTTTCGAATATAGAATCAAATGCATATTTATTAGGCTCTGGTTTGATTTTCATACCTTATATGTCTATGAAAAAGTGAATCTATAATTTGTTTGGATGTTCAATTGAAGAAGCAACAATTGAAATAAGAATTGAATTTTTGGAATTTTTTTTGCTTGGCCATTTTTAGAAACATAAATTTCACAAACGAAGTTATATTCACGGTTCATAGTTTCATAGTTTTTGCTTCATATACTAGCAGAAAAGACCTTATTTATTTAATAATTTTATTTACACTGTTTAAATATTTTATATATTTATGCCTAATTGGTGACAGGAAGTCCCATCTAATATAATTAAACGAAACATTGATCCATTAAAAAACTGTCGGATTATGATTATTCGGTTCCATATTCCTAATTGGTAGACATTTTTCTGGTCGAAAAATTGAAGATTTTCAAGGGAAATTAAAAATGATTGAAAACAAAGCTGTTTCTCCCCTTTCTACTCTACACCTACTTTAATGGTCAATTTCAGTTGAAACATGGATAGATATACTTGTAGATAGAGATGCCACATACAGCCACACACACATTTGGCATGTGCAACTTTTGAAAACTTGCGCTATTAACTTTGGTATGTCAAACAGTGCTTCGTATTGCTGCTGCTATTTCTTCAACTTGAGAGCAGTGCACAAGAAGAAGAAAAAACAAAAAAAAAAAAAAACGGAAAAAAATTTAACGACTCTTTTGACTGGCCGCGAGTTCATTTGAGTTGAGGGCACAAATTGTGGCCAAAACCAACGCAGGCCCATTCGCCGGCAGACAAAGCGACAGACACAACGACCGTCCGAGTTAGAGTCCGAGCCCAAGTCCGGGGCTAGGCGAGCTGAGCCCGTCAAACCAGTCAGCCATTTCGCTTTTGCCTAGCCTGAACGGGATGAGATGAGATGAGTTGAGCTGAGCTGAGCTGAGTTGGCGGAAGGGAGCGGTACGAAATGGCTGGCCGTTGATGACTTTTTGCACAGCCACTACGATGGTGGCGCTGGTGGTGGCGGTGGCGGTGGCTAAAGAAGAGCCCAAAAGATACACGTACTTGCGGATACATGTGTATGCGATGCGCATCTAAACTTGTTTGAAACGTGTTACACTTTGAGAACGCGTTGCTGCAAGTGGCAACAATTCCAATCCTTTTCAACTGACAGCCAGCGACTGCCAATTTGCGACTATGCCCGCTAGCCCTTCCCTCCAACACTTCCGACTCCCTTGCCAGCCCCATCCTTTTTTGAAAATGCCATTTAAGTGGGAGTGGCACATTGACTGAGTTTTGCGCACCATACGGCCAGACATATGCCTACATATACGTACGAGTACATGCATATATATGTACATATGTATAGTACACATATGTATATAGCATGCGTATATATCGACACGTACGACATTTGAAATTGTTGTCTAGTCACTGCTGCTGTTGATGTTGATGTTGTTGTTATCACTTTGATTGCGCGTACATTTATATTACTTTTTTCCGTTTATCGACAGTCGAAAGTCTCTATAATAAATTTGCATAGAAATAAAAAATCTTTTTCGTGACGATTCGTCATGGGAATTATTAGAATTGCTTTGATTGATATTACGAATTTCATTTTTAGATGGAAAGTACACGAATTTGTGGCGAAAATTAAAAGAAATAGCTTTAAAATATTTCTACTAAAAATAAATAATAATATTTTAAATTGAATATAAATAAATGACAATTTTGTCTTGAACAAAGCCTCCTGAATATTCAGAGAGTCATAATCGAAGGAACAACATATTTTCTTTTGGCCAATACTGGCCACATCCTGACAATCGCATCCCTAGCCTGTTATATCCTAGACAACTGTATGCCTTATTTAAATTACATATAATTTCCAACTGCAAAGTTATTTTATGCTACATGCAGTAAAATGAAAAATCGTTGACTGTCTAGTAACTTTTATTTCACAAATTCTGCACTAATTACTACTGACACATCTTAATATGTTTCACCAGCTGTGGCACCGCTCCTGAGTTCCAAGTGTTTTTCAACTGTAAGCGAATGTTAGTAGTATCCATAGCTTTATGCTTTTCCTCATATATAATTTGTACTTTTAAATCCTCAATCATATGTTAAAACGATAATTTTGTAGATCTGGCACCTTTTGCCTTTCAAGGCAACAAGTGAGTAGCATATCTAGACTGCTCTTTTACAGCAAACTGCAGGCCATTTCTAAAATATGTATTGTTTCCAATTAAAATTTGGCCTTATTTTATGATCCATATAGTTAAATGGAGAATCTGCAATTGCTTAGGAATTTGCGTTTTAAGAATTGCATAAAATACTTATTCGCATTGTACAAAGAAAATTCTGTCAGCTCTTATTGTCTTTAAGGGCAACAAGTTAGTAGCATCTGTAGCCTGTGACTTTTCTAAAATAAAAATGGAAAATCTGCGAGTGTCTAGTGATTTGCATTTTAAAAACTCTGCATAAATTACTTAGTCCTGTGTTAAAAAGAGAATTCGTTATGAAAAGTTACGCGACGTGAAATTCCACCCTGACAAGTCGCCATTTTGTTTTGTAGATTGCACAAAAGTTGTACATATTTATTACTTTTTGCCCATTTGCACAAATCAAAAATGAAATTGATATATGTGTATGCTAAATGCGTTAACAAGGCCGCCGGCGCTAGGCAACTGGGCCCAAAAACGAAAGAAAGAAGTGGTTGCCTGGCTGTGTCAAAATTTGGTTAAAAACGTGACAGGAACGGCAGCTCCCGCCATACAATATACAAGTATAGTAGCTCTTCTACTTATTTTATTTTATTTTACTTTTTGTGGGGCAGGTAAACGGGAAATTGTTTACCATGGTGCCGCAACAACAACAACAACAACTAACAAATGATGTAATTTCGCGTGTTTGTGCAATTCAATTTCCTGCCAGCGGAAACGCGCGTCTCTCTCCGCACACCTACTACTACTACTACGACTATTGATGGCGGCAAAGAGGGGGACAACAGCCCAAAAGCAGAATCCCGGAACCCCAACAACTTTGCCGAATACCCCCAACAACTTTAAAACAGTGTCCAAAATTTGTTTGGCAGTTGCTAAACTTTAATTGCCCCAACACCAACACCCCATACACCACAACACCCCAACCCCCCTCCCAAAAAAAAAAAATAAAACCTAAAGAAACTCTTGTCAGCGCTCCGAGTGTGTGCCAACAAAATAAAAAATAAACGTATGTAATTCAATTTTGCAAAATTTGCTATCTAAACAGTTTGTGCAGCTCATTCGTTTCGGCCAACTTAGACAGCAGCTTACATACATATATGTATATATTGTTTGTATCTATATACTATGTATATATGTATGTATGTATGTATGTGGGACAAGAGCATAATAAATATCGCACATGTATGTCAGATGATGTTGCTGCCCTTTTCAATAAAAGAGCTCTATTTAGTTTCTAATCAAGTCTGCAGCATGTGCTAAAAGCCAAGCAAAAAAGCAAAGTTGTAAATATTAAAATACTAAGTACTTATGTACAAAAGAGACGATGTTAAAAAAGTATTTGAAAGCTGCTTTTTATTAGAGTACACATCGGTTTGCAAAATAAGAAGCTTTTTGTTTAAAAAACATTGAATGCAGGTAGAAAACTGTAATCATGTCTAACACAGACAAAGAATGAAGTCAAACGGAGGAAAAATACTGATGTTTCGTATAAAACTTTTACCCCTCTTCTTATCTATTATCGATCATAGATGTGATCTATAATTCTATTTTTTAAAAAAACGGTGTTTCTATTAACATTACTATATCAGGTTATAATTAAAATAAAAACTACAAATTAATAACCCCCCTGGCTACTAAGCTACTCCAAGTCGATATTTTATTCACAGATAGAGAAAGTTGATGGTTTTTGTTTTAGGAATAGCATCAGTATTAGAATGTAAATTATTTGCATAGCTTGAGTTGTACTTTCAAAGCGGTTGTCCGAAAATGTATGTTTTGAATTGGCAGAAAAAAATGTACCCACGAAATTATAGAATTATAGGTTCCTTTTTGTAGTTTCTGATCGATTCCAGATTTATTAGAGCATGCAAACTTCGTGCTTTATTGCAAGTATTTTCTTGTATTTTTTCGCAATGTTTTGGCTTAATAAATTTTATTTAAAGCCGACCCCCGGTCAGCCTGGCAGGACCGCTCTGGCTATATTAACAATAATTCCTTTGTGCTGGCGTATGGCCATAAGTTTTGGGCCGCACAGCGGGCGTCGAACGTTTTGTGGCCAATTTCCCGCACCCAAGTGGACATACATACACACACACACACACACATATATTCACAACAAAAGGGCGACCAGCCGGCTTTGTGACCCATTGTCAGTTAAATGCGACGACGCATGCACAAAAATTCTTGCACACTTGGTGGGTAAGCAAAAATATGGGCTATGGCGGAAGGGGAGGGGGGTAGGGGTGGGGAATGAAATTGGGTGCGAGCAAAGCCTGCTGTCAGTGCTATTAGAACAATTTACAAACGCACAAACATGACGTCTGCTTTGAGTTAAATTCCGAAAATAAAAATAAAAAACAGAAAAAAGTTTTCAAACTGCCCCCACAGTTCAGCTTCCGCCCATTGGAACATGTCCAGCAAGCCCAGCAAGACGGGCAATCAAAGCAAATTCTGGTTTCTGGAATGGCTGCTCAACTGGACTCTGAGCACACCGCAAAAGCTGCGTGAGGCGGAGAAAGGTTTATTGTCGCATCTAAAGATGCGACATCAGGCTTTTTATGTGGACATTGGAGCCGTGGTGGGTCAATCCGATCACATCTGGACGATCAGTTTGAATGCGGAGCGGACGAAGCACACGCCCATTGTGGCATTGCATGGCCTGGGCGGTGGTTCGGCACTTTGGCTGCTCAATTTGGAGGCATTGGCCAAGGATCATGCTGTCTATGCCATTGATATATTGGGTTTCGGACGAAGCTCGCGGCCACTCTTCTCCGCTGAGCCCTTGAGTTGTGAACGCCAGATGGTCGAGGCTCTGGAGGCCTGGCGCTCCGAACTCAAGCTGCGTCGTGTCATCCTACTGGGACATTCGTTGGGGGCTTTTATAGCCAGCAGCTATGCTCTGACCTATCCAGAACGGGTACAGCATTTATTGCTGGCCAATGCTTGGGGTTTTAATGAGCAGCCGAGAGCTCAATTAAGCGCCTACCCGCTCTGGTTGCGCGTACTCGAACGCGCTACTCTATGGTGTAATCCGTACTGGATCTTACGAGCTGCTGGGCCCTTTGGCACCTGGCTAATAGCAGCCAAATCTCCAGAACTTCTGCGTTGCTTCGCTCCACTATTGGGAGACCAGTTGCATATCCTAACACAATACATTCATCAATGCAATGCGGCAATGCCCAGCGGAGAGGCCGCATTCCATACACTCTCCGAACACTTTGCCTATGCCAAGCAACCCCTTTTGAGGCGTATATCGGAGCTACCTCGGGACGTGGGCATAACGTTCATCTATGGCGCGGATTGCTCCAGAGATGCGGGCACAGGAGTCAAGGTGAAGAAGCTGCGCGAGAACTCTCAGGTGCATGTTATTGTGATCGAGGATGCTGGCGAACATGTGCATGTGGAGCAACCAGAGTTATTCAATTCGCATGTTCTGGCTGCCTGCCAGTCGATCGAGTCCCAATCATAGCAATAAGTTCTCGTTCTCAAAACAATTTGCATTTATTAAATTTTTGGTTAGCCAATAAACAATACGAGAGAGAGTTTTTAAGTGAAACGTGCATGTCGGCCATGAGAAAAATAATAGTAGCCCGTTCGTAGGCCAGCATCGCCGTCTACGGTAGCGCTAGTGGCAAGCATTTCGCGCGTGAGGCGCATACTTTGCGTGGTAAGGCTAAGTGTGCGATAGAAGAAAGCAGTGAGAAACGACGCGCTCACCACAAAGGCAATAAAAAATCCCAGACAGAATATGCAATCCTTGTTAACCTGTAGGCACAAGCACAGGGCAGCGGCAAAGTCGCTCAGACTCTGGACAGTGCGCGCCCCCAAGGTGCGTCGTTGGACGGGTTGGGGTCGTGGTGGCGCATTATTGGCACTAATCGTAATGGTGTGGTGTCTGCGCTCACAGGGTGGACGCATGTCCAGTAGAGCGTTGGATTTGCGCGGAGCTTTACTGATGCTGGCACCTCTGGTCACATTCAGCACCAAGGAGGCGGTGGACTCGTTAGTTTGTGTGGATAAATGCGCCACAGCTGCCACTTCCCCCTCGCAATGTGGCCGTGGCATTTCCATAATTTCGCTCAGACGCAGCTGTGGACTCTCATGAGGAATATCCAGCTGGGGCTTCGACTTTTCATCGGCTCTACCTTCTATCGTCTTTGTCGCCGGTATGTTTCCTGACGCCAGTAAGTGCCCCTCAATAGCCTCCAGGTTGTGCGTAAAATGATCTAGAAGATGTAGAATGTTTTGTATGCGCTCTTCAGTGCAAATAATTGGATGCTGGGCCGTTTGTGCAGCTTCATCAGTTTCGCTCCTAGGCAATATTGTCTCCAGCATATCCTTCACTAGAACTTTGGCCTCATCTAACTTGTGCTGATCAATTGTTATGGGCAGGGTCTGTCGACTCTTGCTGCAGGTAGCCTGTTCTCCATCGGGTAGGGACGCTGGCTTTGGCTCCATTTCTAACTCCACTCGTTCCGTATCTGTGGCACCCACATGATCGTCACCCAATTGCAGCACCACGTGCTGCCGCCGCTCCTGGGTATCTCGCTTAGGCAATAGGGCTATACGCCGATCTATTAGCTCCATTACCTGTTGTCGATGCTGTTGATCTTTCTGTTGCTCATCCAGCTGTCTTTCGACTTGATGCTGCTGCTGCTGCTGCTCCCCATCTTGCTGCTCCCGCTGTTGATCCGATTGCCCGCCATTATCAGCACTTTCCGACCCACTCTTCTGGCCCTCATCCATTCTTTGTGTCAAACTTTGAATTTGGGATTTTGTGTTTCAGTCTTTGACTGAATTATAAATTGAATGCGTTTATTGCAAAATTGACATTTGACCGAAAATATGTTTTTATTTATTGCTCAAAAGTTTGAAAATTCTCAAAATTCATCTGGAGTACTCGCCTTTTAATCCATGGAATGCAATGAACCTCCAACGGCGATCAGTGTTGTGCACTCGCTCATAAGCGATTTGGTTACCGAAGCTGAAAATTCCGCCAGGCCAGTTTGGGAAGCATCCAAGAGTTCCGCTCACAAAATCTCTAGTTGCGAAAGACTCTTTCAATTATTAGGCTTTGCGGTCTGTCCGGATGAGGATGATGAAGGGAGCACTGCAACCTTAAAGGTTCTGCACATGAATCGTCAAGAGTCTGGAGCGAGTTATCCGGAGATCTGCAGTCATGCACATGATATAGAGCATCGCTATCATTGGCATAGTTGGCTAGCAGAGGCGATTGCTGACGGTAAATGGGCTGGTATCGACCATGTTTGAAGTTGTGGAAGAGCAGAGCTTAGTCTCAGGCCTGAAACTGTCAAAGCTTTACATGTGTCGCCTCACAAGAAAAAACTTTGACTATAGCAGCACTACATCAACATCAATCATCGGTCATTCATCTCGAGTGTAGTATGAAGTTGACTGATAGCTGAATTGAAATTGAATCTTAGGGTTCCATCAAAATGTCTGATCGTTGTTCGTTTTACAGATAACTCAGAGGATGAGCTGGAGCTTTACCGTAGAAGCGTCAAGACCTATCGCGAGAATGGCTGCCAGACTGAGCAGCCGCGCTTGCAGAAGCGCCCTGATGGCGTAAATACGCCTGCCAACCGTGCCCTACAAGCGCCCGCACCCTGTGAGCTCACCAGGCAGACACTTTATTTTGAGGCGCTCTCCTATCCTGCACCCACTATTATGCGACGCCCCCCTCTAGCTGATCGCTTTTGCTATATGTTAACCGATTTTGCGTCGGCACTCTACTGTAGTCTTGCCATCATGTGCTGTTGCACCCCGAATATGTTTCGATAAATATATTTGGCTTCATATTTTATTTGTTTAAACTTTAAAGTATTGACTTCCACGCTTCATTTCATTTGCATGGACATGGTAGCCAGCCTGCGTTTAAGCTCCGCATTCTGATTAACATTGCCCTGTAGAAACCTGTAGTAATGCTCTATAAGGAGATACACACACCACATACAGAAGAAGACGAAAAGGACGTAAGTGAAGTTGTCGCCGATCATGTAAAAGCATTCAAACATTGTTTGAATCATATCTGTAATCACCTTCCAAAGGCGAACACGAAGTCGGGCACGTTGAAACTCCGTCGCTGAGCTCACCGACTCGACCTCAATGTGCAGTGTGTGCTGGGGTTTAGGAATGAAGTATCCTTGAACATTCGGCTGTTGCAGTTTTTCGGTCCATTTCGGTTTCAGTTTCATGAGCTTTTCTTTGAGCAGACTTCGGGAGGTCTGTATGCTCACCTCACATGTTGATTTCTTCGCCGGCATCAACGTTAAATCGGACAGCTTTATATTGCCAAGACTTGCCGATGTTTTGGTAAGATCTTCATGTTGGTCTAGGGGAGATATTTTGATAAATAAATTGCTACTTATATGTATTGCTGCATTAATGAGTCAGCCTTTCTATAAGTTGTTGCAGTAGCATAAACAATCGAAAAACCAGATGAGCTATTGATGATTAAGATCTATGTTTGGCTTCACATAAACGCAGCCTGCATGAGATACTGATGATGAAAACCGACTTACTGTCCCTACGCTTCATTAGTTCGGATTGGGATCGTCGTAAAGCTATTGGCTTGACATTGTTATTCGAATTCTGCTCGTCAACGACGATTTGGGTGTAGCTATCAAATAGATTGAGCAGCTCTACAAATCGATCGGTAATCTGCTTGTGGCTAACTTCCACGTCAGTTAGAAAACAGTGATTCAATTCGATTGCTGGATTGTCGCCCTTGTCACCATCCAGGTCTATGACCAACTGATTGGACGTGTCCTTTGCCGACGTAACATCGCCGTGATTTTCGCAACTCCCCGCATTTGTCCGGCAGGGCATGGCTAACAAAAATGCGTAATTTGAATTGGAAAATGTATATGTGTGTGTGTATGTGTAAGCGAATATTTTTGTTGTTAACTCGCAAAAACAAAATCAAATTAATAATAATACATATGTAACTACTTCAAATTTGGAATTATTTCATTTTTTCATGCTTTTATGTTTTATGTTTTGTTCATTTGAAAAGTTGTTTGTCGTCTCTGAAGGGTTAGTCTGTCAGACCCAGCAGTGCTTATTTGGCTAGTGGATTAGATTGTTTTTGCGCTAAATTAAGCAATTTTCGCAAATGCAGCGACAACAGTCTGGCCACGTCTGTCCGCTGGTCACTGGAGTTGAAGCCTTTGGTCACTGGACACTTCACTCGCCACTTGTTTGTGATTTGTTGTTGTGATTTGGTGTTGTTTCTTGTTTTTTTGTTGTCGTTCTTGTTGTCGTTGTTGTTGTTGTACTTGGGCAAGTTATATACGAGTCTGTATGGCTCTCCCTCTCTAATATGACAATTATAACGGTCTAGTGCACTAATGTTATTTTGCATAAATGCATTTTGAAGCAAAGGGAGACATGCAAGATGCTTAGATGGGCTAGATGGATAAAAGGGTTCGTGCATATACTATATACACCCTTAAATATATGAAGAGCTATTAGTTGGTTGCTTGTCAAATATTCTGTGTTATAAATTCATACAAATTTTCTCTTGGCATGCCCATATTATTGCCCAGAGAAAGTCGCTCAGCTATACTGGCCATACTGGAAACCAGCCTGGACCTACGGGTAAATTGAGAAACCGCTGTAATGCAGAGATTCTTCAGCAGTTCGGAAATAAATGTCTCTGCATCATTAGCGCCACGCCCTTTTATATGAGCAACACCTGCAGGAGCCTAGAGAGCTTCCTTCGGTAGTCTTTAAATAGTTTATAAGTAGTTTATCTGTCAAGTGTTTACTTAACAAATTTAATGATTGTCCAATTCAGGACTGATTTTAAAAAGATTGTATAGAACAGAATAAAACCCTTGCGAATATTATTTCCAATAATCCATTTAAAGTTGTTTATCTGAAAGGTTACGAAACTAGTATTCAGATAAAACAACTTACTAAGAAAATGATTGGAAGGGGAAGGGTATATTGGGACTGTTTAAAATTATGAATCTAAGAACACTACTCGAACGCGTCCTGCCAAGTCTATCGTGATTTATGACTGCCCAAAACTTGTATGTGTTAGCTTACAAGCTACCTTAAAATGTAATAGGAGGGGTGTTGAAATTTTTAAAACTCTGGTGAGCTAAAGGATAGCCCCAGATAACCCGTCATCTGTTTTACATTCTCTAGTTGTCCTTTGTGGTTGACTACTTAATTTGCTTTAATTGCGAGGCCTTTTTGATTTTTTATTGTACATTTTTCTCTACAATACATTCAAGACTCGGTACATGCTCAACTCTTTCACGCCCACTTGTTATATTTGGCTTTGTTCTCGGAGCAGCTGCTGCTATTGCTACCTTCCAGGATCCAGGAGTGCGTTGTTGCCAAGCCAACCAACCACCTTTGGTCATTGTTATCATTTAAAAGGCTTAAGTTCGCCAAAGATTTATATTTGTTGTCCACTCACAGAAATCATTGTGCATGCAACAAAAAATAAGATAAACGTACTTTTTATTGATTTTCTCTTCTGCGCTCTGTTGCGAGTGCTTATGTGTGTGCGAGTATGTCTCCCCTCAGTCCTACTTCCCAGCCGACCATTGGATCATTGGCTTCGAGAACTGGTGGGCAACGCCTGCACTTGATTCATACAGCAAATGGTTACCTTTGTGTGTACGTGTTCAAGCAAAACACCTTAAATGCTTTTACCATTCGACATTTGCTATTCACTTCACATACGTACTCGTACGTAGAATGCTTTCAGGCTTCAGCGATTTTTCATGCCTTTTTCATACAAAACCAATTCGTCACAATTCATCAAACCATAATAGTCTGAGCGTTTTAAATTTGCTATTATATTTAATATTTATCAGTCACACAACTGAGCCTCTCCAGAGAAAAGTGAATCTTTGTTGTTGATCATCATGCATTTGCATGCTGTTTTCCTTCTTATTTTGCTGCTTGCATTAAAATTAAGCAATGCTACGGACTCCGTTAAGGACCCCAAAGAAGCAACCGCACTTGATGCGAAAACAAGTAATTATATAATGAAGATCAAGCCAAGAAATGTGGCCGACCGGACTAAAAACAAGATGCGAAAGACCAGGGGAGGAACTACAGTTCCCTCCACTGCGATTTCGCCTTACTCATCACCTGGGTATTTGTTTGGAGCTTATTTGTTGCCATCAAAAACGAGATTTCATGTGTTTGGCATTCCGCCATTAACTACCACACCTATCAATGAGTTGAATACTAATATACACAATGCAATCACCGTTGATACCTTCAATCCTGCAATAGTATCTGAGGAATGGACTAAAGTCCGTCAGTCAAAAAAACCACCCAAAACTACTAAGAAAGAAAGACGTTGCAATGATACAGATCCCGAGCCCGCTCCTACTGCAGTGCTCTTGAAGCAAGCAATTATAACTTCTACTCTTAATCCGCTGATTACTGTGTCTGAAAAACCATCCGAAATTCCAACAACTACTGAAGCACCACCCGCAAAACAAAGATCTGGAATGAATAATTACATGTCTCGCAAAGTTTCAAAACCTCCCCCTTTCAGAACAACTCGAAAATATTTGTTTGGAGCTTACTGGATAACTACAGGTGTGTTTGGAATTCCACCTCGTGAATTTGAATATATTGGAAAGGTCACCGATGAAAAGCCCACCACCTCCAAAATAAATTCAGTGAAACAAGACAACGCAGTCAGCTCGAAAAATATTCAAAACAAGAAACCAAACAATTCAAATGCTAAGCGGCCAATACCCACATCACCAATGAAGATATCCATTAAAATATCTAGAAATATAACTGACAAGGTAGCCATGGAAAACCCACAACCAGCAATCGAACCGTACGCCATTGCCATTAGACGAAACATACCCTACAATCTTGTCCCCGTGCCTACACCAGGGATCATTCAGCCAATACCCATAGGCGTTAGAAAACGACCACTAGCTGTCAATCAACCAATTGCAGCTCATCGTTTAAAAAAGGCGTCTTTAAAATCAGGAACTACAATGCAACCTTATCTGAAACGAAGAACTACAGCTGCGGCCCACAAAACCCCGTCTTTACTAAAGATTTCAATAGACGTGTTTCCAAAGCCCCACTATAGATCAGCAACAGCAAGGCCTGTGTTTGAACTTTCCCATTCACAACGCAAAGCTACAAGTACTTTGATTAGAAGTCAACCAATACGTACGGTTTCTGATTTACAATTACCTTCATTAAAACAAAAAAGTAACGTTGCAGTAATGGGAAAAATGCTTCGTACTCGATTTAGTGATATACAAAGAAATCGCCTTCGTTACCAGTTCGGTCCAGTCCGGTATAGGAATCAGTTGAAGAAGAAAAAGATCATTACTACTGCCTCACCCAAAACCACAACAATCGATCCTGGACAAGTTGTAATTGTAACAACCGTAGTAACACCCGTACTAGTACGTTACCCATGTATTGGGGCTCCTACAAAGGTACTTGCAAAAGTGGAAGATGTGCCTTATCAAACGTGCGGACCTCCTCCCTACCATCGGTTCTTCTATAATGTGCTTGAAAACAAATGTTGGCGCCAGCAACGCAACTGTACCTCCCAGTTTCGGAAGCTCTTCAATACCAAGAAGGAATGTCAGGCTGAGTGCATTCTAAAAGAGAAGCTACCCCATGCCCGTTCACCATTCTCCATGGATGCCAATCGACGCGCAATGTTGGAATTCATGCGTACTCACAACTATTTATAATTTTCTTCTTCAATAAAAGTCCGAAATGAACTGTCTAGCTCATTTAAAAAGTTAGGGGTGGGTGCTTTCGTCATTATATGGATTGTCGTCATAGGTAATAGTGCATGCGATTTCCGAACAAATGACATTCGTCATAACTAAATACATAATTTGTATCGCACTAATATCAATATTTATCAATCAACTAACTAAGCTTCGTTTCAACAACAGGCCGAGGCAAATAGACGGAAAACCATTGAAAAATTAACCATTTCTCAAACTTAACAAAGATTGCAGATTGCAAAGATTGCAGTTGCTCGGGATGTCAGCGAGTCTAATATTCCGAGAATAAGACAATTAACTGTCAGTAAATGAAATAAAGTGTCTTACTCTAGGAAGACTCTTTGAAATACCAAAGCTTACAGCTCCTGTCCAATCAACAACTGCTGTGTCTGCGGTATTCACTAAAAGCTTAAAGGAATATCATTCATAAAGCACATAGGAACTTATTTAAAAACTAGTAAGTTAGTTGTTATGAACGGCTTCATCTGCGTTAATACTAACTACCTTCCAATTTTAATCAATGTAGTGGCTGTTGAAATGTAGACGTCTGACGTGTAGATATCAGACGCATATTATATCTAATATTTACTCTTTGTTGTAAGTGCATGTGAGCCATCTCTCTAATTATGGTAGAAACGAAGGAATCTGACGTCTAGTTATACCTTGTACCCAAAGGGTGAACGGGTATACTAGTTTTCCAATGAATATCTGCCGTTTTCTCTTTGTTTCTAATTCGCTAAGGAACGTGAGTGTTTGATCCATTTCTTCACTCATTATTGAAATCTATGAATCTGACGTGTAGAAATTCTGGTGTTCATTGTTTGTTTTCATCATAAAGTAAATTATTGTTGTAGAATTCAAAATATAAAAGGCTTTAGGCGTGTGCTTAAAAGAACATGCTCTATTCTTTCGAGATTCAATTTTGATGACAATTTTGTTGAATAGATGTTTTGCTTGGTCTTCGATTATGACGGCAGATTTCTTGGCAACAGTCATTCGTGTTTATTTATGAGGTGTTTTTAATTATACTCTGGAGTGCACATAAATTTCGACTGGCGTTTGAGTTGTCCACTCGAAGCGGAGTGGGCCAAGGCGTAGGTTCAAACTGTTGCCAAGCTCTCTGAAGCACTTTTGGCCTGGTAAGTGGCGTTGTGTGCAGCGGAGGCAGCACATAAATAATATTTG